TTAGGGATGGTTACTCTTTTCTTCAGGGAGCACATATAAAGCCAGACCTTTGATTAGGAATCATCACTGCAATCTGAAATGCCTGTTGCCATTTGCAACATTGCTTCCTAGACTTGAGGTCAGTCTTGGCTCAAAACAATCAATTCCAGTCCTGAGATTGTCAGGCTAGTCTGCCATTTGCTGTGGTTTCACAGTCATCCAGGATATTGGTTGTTTTATCTTGTTATGTAAGGGTTACTATCTAAGTGAGACTATCTGTTCAATTATAATCTAGATTAAAAGATCATGATATGAATAAAAGAATCCCATTTAAAATGCTCAGTAAGTCTTATGTAACCTTGCTTTTTTAAAAACTCATTCATCTGAAAAAACTTTTATGAAGTTATCATTCAACTCAATGAAAGGTGTGAAGGTCTTGTTAATGTTCTTAATAACTCCATTATTTATTAAACTGAATAAAACGTTGCCTGGGCTTGGGTGTGTCTCTTCTAACACAACACAGATGATTTTACCAGATTCTCATTTGGACCATATATTCATAATTAAGTCAAGGTACGCTGTGGCACTACAATTTGTTATTATCAGAGGTCACTTAAATCCCTTAAGTGCAAGGTACAGATGAACTTGATTAAATAATCATCCTATTAAATCAAGCACTTGGTGATTAGTAAATTGATGATTTCAATTATAGCAGCTCTCTAGCCTGGGACAGAAAAGTGCTGAAAACATAAAACCAATCATCTTCTGAAATTATTATTGGATGCAAAATCACTAGAACAGGGAAAAGGTGTATTATCCTTTAACTTACACCACCCAAAGGAATGTTACCAATGAAGCAGAAAGAGAACAGTTAATTCACTCTTAAAAAATATATCTTAGTGCTAGGAATACAGGCAATCTCTTACCTTCATTTTGCTTATCTCTATCTTTATTTTCTTCACTGCATGGTGACTATTTTGTGCTAAGGGAAATGTTATTTTAAAAACAAATAAGGAAATTGAAGGTAGCACAATGTGTATTAATATTAACCAGCTTTTTGTCATATTCGATCAAAATCAAAACACTCTTGAACTCATAAGGTTCCATTGACAACTAACCTGCTCGGTATGGCCATGACTGAGGTTTCTTTTTTTTTTTTTTACTGGACAACGCAAGTTGTACAACACTGATCTTGCTTCTCGGGTAGGGATGAATAGTTCATTTGCCTGACGATCTCAGCAAAAAGTTCATCCACCATTGATTTACTTTTTGCCGATGTTTCCATGAAAGGGCAGCCCCATTCTTGAGCCAGAGCTCTGCCTTCTGAAGACATAACCTCTCTTTCCGGTTCCAGATCCACTTTATTTCCCACTAGAATAAGTGGGACTTTTTCATATCTCTTCACTCTGACAATCTGATCTCTCATGGGCTTGATATCCTATTCAAACAATCACAAAGAGAAAATAAAATTATGCTGTCTGTATGACCATAACAGAAGTATTACAATATCACAAGAAGTCATCCCTTGGGGATTACAGAAAGCTGACTCCAAAATAAAACCATATACCCAAATGGAGAAAATAAACATTTTTCTCCACTGAAGTAGGAGTTTGATAATTTCCACAGATCCCACCTGCTGGGTTTCTGTCAAGAATATAAAATGTAGGCTGCACACACCAACCTTAGGACTCATACTTCTTTCCCCTAGTCTGTCCTGATTTTAAAAGTTTCCAAATATGAATTCATTTGTACATAAGGATGTTTAGCTATTGCCTGAAACCTGCCAGTTTGTCAGCACTCCTGAAAACACCTGTTATCCTGCCACAGGCTTGTGGCATCTAGGCATTCCTAGCCATTTAGCAAGAGTGCCTGAGAGAAAGTGTTTCAGGTGGCAACAAAAACACTGGGTCATGCCTAGAAGGCCAGTTCAAAACAGATTTATACACTTAAACATTTCATTTTAAATGTAATGGTAGGCCTTCATCCCAGTAAAATCAAACACCTTAAAATAAACTAGAAACCAATCTAACGGTGAGCAGCTCTTGGGAGGGACAAATGCACCTAGGAGGAGTCTGAGCAGGGAGAAAGTCATACTTTTTTTTGCCTAGTTAGGTTTTACAACTTGAATTTTCTCCCCAAGTGTATTATTTTTTCTAATTACAATTGATAATAAAAAGAGCCTTGCTGATTCTCAGGTAGCATCAACTTTAGTGGCGGGGGGTGGGGTGGGAAGTATTGATTTAAGGCAGTTTTATAGATTTAATACTAACTTCACAATATTCTTAATTTTCCATGACTTAAAAGATTTGACTAAAATATCAAATGTGTTTAATTTGAATAGTTAACAGTAAATGGAATATTCACTTGTGGGAAGGAGGAAAAGCAGAGGACTGTGAATGTGTCTGAAAACACTATTTGATGTTCGCAACGATTTTGTTTGCTCATGTTATCTATTTGGTCTTCTAGGTTAAGCTTTTTTCCCGTGTCCTTACTGAAACACAAGTTCAAATGAGAAACCAAATTTATGATAGTCAGGCTTGAAAGAGTTTGTTTCTGTCGAAATAATGGCAGTTTTTCACTTCATATTTATGCCTAAAACAGCAGCATATATAATGGAAATCATATGAAAAATCCTTCAAAAGACTTCTAGCCTCAAGAGAGTCAGCTAATAGAATAACAAATCTCTCGAGGATCCTTTAGAAAGAAAATGCCTGTCAAATAGCACCTTTGATAGTTTCGTACTTTCTGGGGGGAAAATGATGTTATGATACTACTACTACTGCTTTGGAATTCAAGCCCACACAAAGTGTATACTTTGTTTTGGTCAGTATACTCATTATTTCTTTAAAAGAAAAAAAATCGTGAAGTAGCTATACGAGGTTACTGGAAAACTTCACTAGAGTACTGTAATTTAAATACAAAGTGGAATTAGCACATTGTATTTGGTAAAGCACTTAACGTCTTTTAAGCAACATTAAGCTCATACCTTTAAATGCAGAAAAACTATCCATTTCCTAAATCAATGGAGGTCAATACAATGGGTCAATATGAGGTTATTTATTTTCAAGGAATAAATAGCAACATTTACTGCATCTCTTAAAATAATGTTAAACCTTCGGTCTGCCTCCCAGTGAAGGACAGGACAGATTTTTCAGAAGAAATTGGACCACCTCCAGCTTGGCCACCCAGCCAGGGTTAGAAATTTGCACTTGTCCGGTGTTCTCTGATCCACATATTTTGTTTAAATATAGTTAGTGTTATCAGAAACAACTTGGATCAACTGCAGAAGAGGAGAGTCACTAGCTTTCTGTAGGCTATTAATTCTAGGTAATAATCTTTTCAGTTAGTAACTTTCCTTCACACACCCCAAGGTGAGTAAAATGCCTAGAAGGCAGGTCTTGAGTTCTTCATCTTGTAACGCTAAGATTTATGAATCTGGATGAGAGAACAGAGGAAGAGGTGGGGAAAGCAGACCCAGAGGAGTTACAGATACCGGGCTCCAAATAATTTTGTCTCCAAAGTTTTCTATTTACATGAGGTTATCTGTTAAATGTTGTTCTGGTTAAGTACCTTGATCAATACTTGTTGAATCGAACAAGCAACTTCAGAAGGTTCTATTCCAGGCTAAACATACACAGGCTGCCCTATTTCTTTCTCACTTTGACGCAAAAATAACTTTGAAATATTTGTTGACGGTTGTTACTGCAGACTCTCTATAGAAAAAACCCGATACTTTTCCCTGCCAGAAGTAACCTCAAAAATGCGCCATGTCTAACTTTCAGAAGCAAAACATAGTCATTAACACACAGTTCAAGCTCACCAGAAGTAAATGTGGGATCACCACACCCCCTTCTAACAAATTACAAGACTCGGTTTGGTTACCTGGAAAGACTGTTGATTAACCAGGCTATAAACCAGGATGAAACCTTGGCCGTTTTTGATGTAGAGATCTCTCATGGAGGCAAACTGCTCAGTTCCTGCGGTGTCCAGAATTTCCAGCACGGAGGGGGAAGAGTCCACTTCGATCTCTTTGCGGTAGAAATCTTCAATGGTGGGGTCATATTTCTCAATGAAAGTCCCGGTGACAAACTGCACAGTAAGGGCAGATTTGCCAACCCCTCCGCTCCCTAACACCACTACCTTGTATTCCCTCATGAGTCTCACCTTCAGCAACTTCTACCAGAGGGAGGGAAAAGAACACCCCGCTAGCCTCGGCGGCTCGGGGAGGCGGAAGGTGGGCGGAAATCTGCGAACTGGGGAGGAGAGTGCGGAGCGGCCGAGGGCCCAACGGGGGAAGAAGAGGAAGTTAAAGGAGGGGGAGGGGAAAGAGCCAAGTGTCGGGTGGGTGGGGATGGGATGGTGATGCCCTTCCTATAGGAACCGAAGCCCAGGCAGGGGGCGTGGGGAGGAGGGCAAGCTCCGAGAGGCGGGGTGCGGAGACGCGCCGCGCCCCTGAGGGAAGCGGTGGGGGCCGCGCAACGGGGGCCCCCGCGGCCAGGGTTGGCCCGGCACCCCTCCCCCCGCCCTTCACACAAAGGGGCCCAGGGACCCCGCTTCCTGCTCGCGCCGCCGAGCCGGCCCAGGCCTGTGGGCTCGGCTCCAGTCACTGCCGCCCGGGCGGGTCTCTGGGCCGCGGCTCCCGCGGGCGTCGTCCGGCCTGTGGGGAGGGGGGTGAGGGGGCGCGTTACCGCCGGGCCCCCGACCGCCGCCCGCCTTCCTCGCTCCGCAACCCCCTCCTCCCCGCCAGCTCCTGCCCGGACCCGGACCCGGCTGCCTCCGCCAGCGCCGCCGCTTACCCCGCCGTCCGCACCCGCCCGGCCGCCCGGGAGGCTCCGTCACGCCAAGGCCATGGCCACCGGCCGGCTCCTCGGTCTCACCGGCGCCCCAGCGCCGCTGCTCGCGGAGGGGAAAGGGGCGGGGGCCGTCCGGCGGCGGCGGCGGCCACTCTGGGCGAAGCCTCCTCTTTTTTTTTTCCTCACCCCCCCACCCCCCCCACCCCCGGCGCACACCCGGAAGGGTTTCCCTGACACACTGGCTGAGGTGCCCCAGTTCCCCGAGACTGGCCGGGATCACTTCCGGTGGGGAAAGTCCCTCCTCTCCGGGGCCAGCCGGGCGGCTCTGGGGCCGCGCCCTGTCGAGTGAGGCGGCAGGGGACGGTCTCGGTTCGGGGCCGCGGCCTTGGCAAAGGGCCTCTCAGAGAACCTCCGGCGGCCTTCCCTTTCCCGCCCGCAACCCCGGCTGCTGACTGTCGCATCCCGAAGGCACCAAACCCCTTGGCGTCTCCGCGGCTCGCAGTCGGAGGACTCGCGCCGCCGGCTGGCGAGTGCTGGACGGCGGGTTACCCTCCGGCCCCCAGGAGAGCACCCAACATCCCGGCTCGAGAAGGCGCAAGGAAAATAAAGCGGCCAAGAAAGTTCATTCTCCTTGCTCGTGTTTCGAACACTTGATGTTTCTCTAGAAACGCGTGCGAACTACCCTTCGACTTCACTACCGCTCTTAATCCGTTTGTGATGGGTCTTACTTGGCCATGCCTGACAAATAATTAAATGCAGTACTTTTATCAACTGGCAAATCGGCTTGACTCCACCAGCAAATGCCAAAGTCACTCCTTCCCTTCTTATCACAAGGCTCAAAAACAACAGGAATAGAAACACTTTATCTGACGATAACTCAGCTTTGCCATATTTGATTCTAACCACTACACGGCGGGAAAGGTAAGCAATACTCAGGGGAGAGTTGATTGGAAATTGTTTAGGCCTATGAGACTAATTGCTTTTAATCTTTGATTATCTGCCCTCACAGCAGTTCCCGCAGCTGGCTCTTCCCCGATAAAGTTTGTTTCAATGGTCATCCTTCATAGTCCTTGAAATGCAAAAGGAAAGGACTGGTGTTAAACACTAAGTTTCTATTTTTAGATGAATTCATTACTTCTTACATATCTTTCCCTCTGCTAACTTTCTATTTGTAAACTTTGTGTCAGATCCATAGAGCCCCAAGGCTCGATTATATTTTAGGCATGTCACTCCCTTTTTGATTCAAGCATGCACCCAGGAACCTGAGAAACTGGTCGTCTTAAATTGATTCCAAATTCCCTTAATTGCAAACCCTCACAGCCAGGCTGGATGAAAAGAGATTTATTACCAAACCCAAACTGGTAGACATTAGAAAACAGACAAATCCCGGTAGTTTGAAGTCCCACTGTGTCTTTCCCTGAGCACTCCCCAATGTCACTTACAGTGTTCAGAGGACAGTTTAGTTCAGTTTCTCCTCGGCTCGGGGCTGCTGCAATCTGTCCAGCGGAGTCCCCAGCTCTGGCTCCTGCTGGCCTGAGTCCCGCCTGATATCTGAGGCACTGCCCTCTCCTGGAAGAGGTTGGTCTATGAGTTTTGAGTCTCCCCATAGGTCACTGCTCCTTCCACACGTGCTGTTTCCTGATTTGGAGCTCTGCTGCCCATCACCCTGTCTAGCTGTCTCCAGACTGTCTGGTGGGATCTACACCCTGCACCAACCCTGCTTGAACCTGAGTCTGGAAATCCTCTTCTGATCCAGCAATCACTGTTGAGAAATAGTACCCAACCTCTGCCTTATTACTAAACTGTCACAACAGGGAGCTCCTCTTTTTGAGGTTGTCCCAACTGTTGGCAAGTCTCATATCTCTGATTGTGTTGGCCAAACTGTTTTGGACACAGTTCTTTGTTTCTCCACACAGTGAAACGTGCTCCTCCCCTCAGTACAGAGTCCTACAGGGTCACTCTTATCAGCTACACAGTTGACATATGTCACACTCAATCTGAAGCTCCCTCTAAACTTTCTTGGGAACAGGCTTCATTCCAGCAGCAGTTAGGAAAGCAAACAATTGGAAGTAGCTTAAAATGCCCTTCAGTAGACAATTCTAAAATAATTGTGTGTGTGTGTGTGTGTGTGTGTACATTTGCAAAATGGATACTATGCAGCTATTTATTTAAAAGAAGAAAGATCTGTAAGTGCTGATATGAAAAGATGGTCAGGACATGTGATAAAGTTGAAAGAAAGCAAGATACTGAACAAATACATAATTGCTTCCATCAAGGTAAAATATGTGGGAAAGTGTGCAATATATAGTTGCGTGTCCATTAACAACTGAAACAAGTCATGAAGTATCCATGAGAGGTATTATGAAAGGATTTTCATTTCTCCACAACTTTTTCATTTTTCAACAATGATCAGGTGTTATTGGGGAGAAGAGGGAATAAATACCATTTCATGATATTTTTAAAGGAGAAAGAAGAAATTTGTTGATCATCACTTCCTCAAAAAACAATATCCTGACTGTCTGGGGATCAGTGGACAAGTCTGCCCAATTTAAACTCCCTCCTGCTGCCTGTTCTATCCGCCCCAAACATCTCTATACTTAGAAAAGTATTTTCACATACATTATCTCATTAGACTCCAGTTGTTCGCAAGTTTACTTTTATTAGCCAATGAGAGTTAAAAACCCAATTAGAAGAGCACAGCCAGGCAGTTGAGTGCCAAGGTCTCTGAACCAAGGAAGGCATTTATGCGGCCGCTTGCCTACCTCCTTAGCTGTGGCACCACAAGCAAGTGATTTCACCAGTCCAAGGCTCTAGCTTCTCATCTGTAAAATGAAGCTAACCATTTCATGTGAAAATACAATAAAGTAGTATATGTAAGATGCTTAGTTCAGTTCCTTGCTCATGACCAATCCTCAATAAATGCTGTCTCTTTGTTTTTTATTTAAAAGACTTGGTAAAGTGTTACTTAAAAAAATACCAGTGGACATAGGAAAACAAAACTTTAAAAGACCAAATATCTCCCAATGGCACAAAAATAATAACCGAGTTACTCTTTCCAAATATATTTATTGTTAAAACCTTCTTGTGTTTCAAGGGTGCTGAATGTGCTAGCATTTTTATCAACCCATCTATATGTATTTTTATTTTTTATTTTTTTTAAGATTTTATTTATTCATTCATTTGAGACACACAGAGAGAGAGAGACAGAGACACAGGCAGAGGGAGAAGGAAGCAGGCTTCACGCAGGAAGCCCGACATGGGACTCGATCCCGGGTCTCCAGGATCACAACCTAGACTGAAGGCGGCGCTAAACCGCTGAGCCACCCGGGCCACCCTATATGTTTTTTTTTAATTTATTTTATTTATTTTTTATTTTTTAAAATATTTTATTTATTCATGAAAGACAGAGAGAGAGAGAGAGAGAGGCAGAGACACAGAGAGGGAGAAGCAGGCTCTATTCAGGGAGCCCAATGTGGGACTCAATGTGGGACTGGATCCCGGGACTTCAGGATCACACCCTGGGGCAAAGGCAGGCGCTAAACCACTGAGCCACCCAGGGATCCCCTAAAAGTTATTTTAAAAGAGATCTTACTATACACATCATTCTGCACCTTGCTTTTTTTTTTTCGCTTACTATATCTTGGTGATGGAAATCATTGAAACAAAAGGGTACTTGCATTTAAAATCTCTGGTCAATATTGTGAAATTGTCCTTCAGAAACATCATACCAATTCACATTCCTACCGACACTGCATGTGGTTTTTTTTTGTAACCTCACCCTAGGTATTACTAGTTTTAGTCTTTTAGAGATACTGTTTCTCACTTTAGGGTATTTTCAGGACTAACAAATGCAGGATAGTATGATAGAAGGAATTTGGGCTTCAGAATCAGATAGTCTTAACATTCTACTTTGCAAGCTAGATCTTCATTCCCTAGTTTAGTAAAGTTGGACACGATGGCCGTAACTAGCTCATAAGGCTCCTTGGAAGAATAAATGAGACAACCCATTCAAAGCACTTAGCCTTCCAAACACTAACTGCTTCATAAATGTAAAATGCTCACATAACAACTTTCCACTCCCAAGGCTCAAGGATGGGGGAGGGTCACTTCTCCAGATAGTATGCCCTTGATATTCAGAACTTCTGTTGTACTTCTGTATCAGCCTCCACTAGAAAGTAACTGCAGCTCAGGCAATCAGTTTTAAGAACACAGCTGACTTTCTACCATAGTGAAGAAATCTTAGGGTATAAACTATACGCAGAATATGTAAGTTACAGGTACCTAATCCTGTTTTGTGCAAATGGCTCAGCACAAGTGGTAAGTGTGAAAGTTTGCTTCAGGCACTAGTTGTCCCTTTCCGGTTGCTACCTCCTTCAGTTGCAAGCCCTGGAGCCATAAACTGTTCTGGATCATTTTCCCTCACTTCCACCCTCCCAAGGGAGCCCTCTCACCTTCCAGGTCCTGGGAAGAAACCCAAGCCCCATGATATTGGTGTCCCAGGCGCTTCCCACTCCTTGGCTTGAACTTGCCTTTGGATTAACAGAGCCTGAGTTAGTAGTGTCCTAGGTTTTTGCCTACAAAAGTCTTCGGCAGGGCATTTCCTCTTCATTGCTTTAGATGGGCCTCTCAATAAACACTGCTCTGGGTCCTTCCCAGCTCCTTCTTACCTCTGAGATCCCAATTTCCCTTGTCAGATTCTGCCTCCAGCTGAACCATCTGCTGGTTCTGCATATCAGTCTCCCCAGGTACACAGAACAAATTTTATGACTTTATTATCCTTTTCTCATTATACAAAAAGTTTTTCGCAAAAAACCTCTTTAAAAAAAATGAAATACCACTACCCAAAGGAAATTGCCATAAAATTTTACTTCCTTTCACTGTGTTTTTCTCTGAGAGTGAAAAAAATTTTTTTTAACTGAGAACGTGGTGATATAATTTTGTGTAATGAAACTTCATGCCTGCATAAAGTATTAAAAGTACTCAGGTACCCCTCAGCCTGAGTAGACCTTCTTCCCTATAGCTCTAGCTTTCCTACAACCCCAACTAAGATTTAATCACATTCAACCTTGCCCACCTGGAATTCTTCATCCAACCAATGGGATTTTGTGGGAAGGGCTGCTTACCACAGAAGCCACTTCCCCAGTCTAACGTGGCAAATGCTCTTTTAGGGGCACAAAACTCTTATTTTCCAGATGTGGCAGCTGAGAAAGTTCTCTCTCTAGGAGCTCAGGGGCCTATTTTTTTTTATGATAGTCACAGAGAGAGAGAGAGGCAGAGACACAGGCAGAGGGAGAAGCAGGCTCCATGCACCGGGAGCCCGACGTGGGACCCGATCCCGGGTCCCCAGGATCGCGCCCTGGGCCAAAGGCAGGCGCCAAACCGCTGCGCCACCCAGGGATCCCCTGAGGGGCCTATTAAGTAAGAGTGTAACATACCAATCTGAACCCCTTTATCATTCTCCCTATTTCATCTTTCCTTTCAAATACAGTCATTAGGAAAGCATTTTGTAATCTATTAAGAACCAAATAAATTTAAGGAATTAGTATGAATAATAGCCATAACATTTTTCTTGTTTATATGTGTATGTTTATGGGCAATTTAAATCCATTGTATAAACCTATTCTTAATTTATATGCATTTGAAGGTAACCTGGAAGTGTTGGTAACATACAGGTGGCTGGGGCCCTAACTAGCCCTCCCCCCCCAGAGTTTCTGTTTCTGGAGCAGGGCCCATAATTTGCATTTCTAAGTTCCCAGATGCTGCTGCTGCTGCTCCAAGAACCCTACCTTAAGCACCACTGTTCTAAAAAGTGGTAGGATGTTATATTTGGGCCTTCCATGCTCAGTATTAATCCACTCATTCAAGTATTCATTCAGTCAATGCACATTGATTAAATTCCTACTCTGTGCCAAATACTTGCC